TTTGATGATGGATGTTGTTTGTAGTTTTCTTTTTCTTTTTGTCTTTGTTTTTTTAGGATTATAATTTCAAATAAAACTTATTCAAAAAGAAAGAAAGAAATGGGGTGCAGGAACAAGCATTGCTTGTTTCTTCTCCCCAGCAAACTTCGGGAGCATGCGAAAGCCATCTCAAAACTGGCAGGGCGCTTGGGTTTGCTTTGAACACCCAGAAAGGGCACTGAACACAGACAATGCTTCCTGCTTCAAAGGTCACCCACCAGCCTTTCCCACCCTTCCTATCAAGTAAGCCTCCTTTGGAGTCAGGTTCCAGAAGCACCTGTGGATTAGCTCAGCAAGAATTTGTGTGCTCTTTCATGCAAGCAACAAGCCAGAGCGGCAAAACTGGTCTGCAGCAAGGAAAAGGCGGAAACAGAGGGTCGGCGACAGAGCGCGGCGGTGTCCCCACCCACCATGGCCTGAGCTTTGCGGATTATGACCTGTCTTTTCTCTGCCAGGTTCGGGAATACACCCCTTCAGGATGATAAAAGGCAAAGGCTTGCCTGTGTGTTGGCTGGCTGGAAAGATCCTTCACCAGAAAATGACTCAGAAGATGGATGGAGAAGGAAGGGATGCTACTTCACACATACAAAGAGGGCAACTGTTCCTTGGCTTCTGCATGCACTTAAGAGCTGGAGCAAACCAAAAGTGCGCTAGGCCCAGTGTCCTGCTCCCAACAGTGGCCAGCCCAGGTGCCTTCCCTGCCTCCCAGCATCAGCTCAGCAAGGTGAGAGGCTACTCCAGCCTTGCACACCAGCCCAAAGAGGACACAGAGTGCACTGCCAGAAGGAACGTCAAAAGAAACTTCAGAACCAGTGCCTGAGCTCTGTGCCCTTTTCACTCCTCCATCTCAAGAGGGCAGAAAGAAGATCCCCAGATTTTGGGGTTCCCACTCCCACTGGCTGGCAGGGGCTTCTGAGATTTGCCTCTTCCATTGTCATTATGTGCCTTTGTAAATCATTTGGGGGGCTGGAAAGCGGCGGGGTGCGGGGGCACACTGCACGTGGATGAGTCCACCTGCCCAGAACACAAAGCCAGTTATGGGAACGGGTCTGGCACAAGATGCATAGGCGTGGCCATGAACAGGTTTCCTCTCTGCATTGCCAGTGCTGCACTTCTTTACCAGATGAAATTTCCAAATCTTCTCAAAGCCAATTGACCGAAGGCACCAAAACTTTCAGCAATACTTCGCCATGCTGCTGAATTTCACCCCAAGGCAGGGGTGTGTTGAAGGACAGGTGGAGAGCCCTCCCCAAGCCAAAGCAGTGTTGCTGTCTCCCGGGATGCACAAGGGAGGGTGCTAAGACTGGGCAATGCCTCCTGGGGGGAGCAGCTGGGCAGGGGGCATCCCTGCCATGAAGGGCTTCTCCAAGAACGGCTGTTGCGAGGGATGCTATGAGCTGCTCAGCCGTCACGGCAGAGCAGCTGAAAACAGGCACCCGCAGGCCATCGCAAAATGCAACCAGCCACATATTTCTCAGGGGTGTAGCTGGCAGAGTAGCACTGGGGGGTCAGATGCCTCCCTGCAGATTCGTAAGCGGCCGGACAATCCCGCAGAGCAGGAATTTCGATCTCAGCAGCCCACTCCAAGCCCTGAGGTGCCGCTGATTAATTTCTCCTCCGAGTCTTCTTCCCTGAAACAGGTGTATCTTATACGCTTGCTGGGTGCGTATGGATTAATTGTGCTATAAGCCGAAGGTACAAAACCTGAGGACTAGCATTGACGGTCTCAGCATGCAAGCCACCTGCTACCAGAGAAGGTGGGCCATTTCCACCATGCTTGCCCTTCCAAATTTGGGCTGATGCTCTCACCTCAAGCAGCAAAAGTGGGGGGGGAGGCAAATTGCAACCCTGTCCCTCTTTCCTGCCAGCAGAACCCCCACACCCTCATTTTCTTCAGTGGATGCTTTGGAAAAACAAAAAATGACCAGCCATTTCTCACTATGATGCAACTTGACCGGGCGGCGGGGGTGGGCAGGGGAAGTGAGATATAAATAGATCAAATATACAATGAGTCTGATGGTTCTTAAAACAGAGGCGTTTTAAAAATAACTCGTTGCCTTGGCTGACACAAAGGACAGATGCTAAGGATGGTCTGCTAAACCAATGGACCATAGCAGTGTTTGGAAAACCTTTGTTATGCAACCGTGACAAGCTGACAATAAGGCCTTTCCATTGCTTTCGCCTCGTCACACAAGGGGATGTTGGACTAGGGATTTGCAGAGCCTTGGCAGAAACGACTCCTCTTTGTAGATGAAACATAGAAACAGAGCGAGCCAGAAGAGGGCCATCTAGTCTTGACCCCCTGATGCTTAAGCTTTAGGGGAGTTTGGTCAGGGTCCCCAGGAGAAGGCAGTGAAAGAAGGAGAAGGGTTACTTGGCCTCTCACTCCGTTTCTTGGAGTTCCCAAATGCTTTTCCGTAAATATTTGGCCATGATGCGCTGAGTTCACTTGCATGGGTTTCTTGCAGAAACACAACACAGTATCAGCTTAATCATTGCTTCAATTCTTTTCCTTTGAATTACATTCCCCAGACCTTTAACATCAAGATTATACTCTACGTTTTAAAGTATCATTTTTTAACAACAAAACCCAACTTTCACCCAATATTAATTCCCATTCCAAAAAACCTGCCCCACTGACAAATACTTCTCCTTTCCCTCTTCTTCCCCCAGAGTAACTTTAGCCAGGCACTGCTAAAACCCAAAGGAAATTCAGGGGGGAGAACCTACCGGTACATTTTCACTCCCTTACTGTGACCTTTTGCACTGCCTTCAGATTGGTTCAGTATTCAAGGTCTGGTCCAGAAGGCAATGACATCAGGAAAGGAGCCCAAAGGGACATCCGTTGTATGGAATTCCTAAGCAGATCAGAAGCGAAGGGAAAGAATTAGGTCAGTTGCTGGAAAGCACATATGTAGGGGTAATGATGGCCTTGCAGTCTGCTCAGGGATAGCTTGGGAGACCCAGGTTCTAGCCCCCACATGGCCAAGAATTCCTTGGATAACTTTGCGCCCAGCCAGCCTTGCAGGGTTGTTGTGAAGATAAACTGCAGAGCCACCAAACCATTTCAGCTACCTTGTGTCCCTTACAAGAGGGGGGAAGGAGGGATCTCTATGTACTAGTAACAATAACATTGTCGTAATTTAGTGGACTACTCTATTCTAAATACCCTGTTCTTCATTTTTCCTGGTTCTTCCTACAGCTGAATAAACTCCAGCGAGTCCAAGATGCTTTGCAGAGGACTGCAGCAATCAGAAACCTAGCAAAGGAGAGCCACCAGAAACAAACTTGCAACCCTCCCCCCCCCCGCATTCTGCCCATTCTAAAAAGCAACTGGTTCAGTTTCGTTTCCCAACAGTCAAGCAGGCTGAAACAAAAGCAAACCAGAGCAGACAAAAAGGTGAAAGCGTTGCAACCCAAGGGGAAAAAAGAAGGGAGGCAGATCTTTCTCCAGCAGGACGGTGAGGGCAGGAGATTAAGCAGGCGCCAAGGGTTGGTAGTAATGGTTGGGCACTTGCTAAGAACCTACAGCCCAACGGGGGCTTGCTAATTAGAAAGCCCTGCAGTTGTTGTTCCACTTCCTCATTCCCCAATTCCCTGCTTGTTTCCCTACCTTCTGCTCCAGCCCAGGCAACAGAAAGGGTGAGGAAATGACACAGCCTCCTTTCATTCTCTCCACTCTCTGCTTTGAGGGAGCCATCACCAGAAACTTAACAGAAAGGACGAATGTTCATCTACAATTTTACCTCTAAAACTGCCTCTTGACATAGTGATTTCTATCTAAATTAGAAGACCACCACATCTCACCTGCCTGTGGAAGATCTGTGACCAGATGACTCATATGCCCACCTGTGCAGACACCACCTGTCAAGGGGCAAGTCATACGAGCTGGCCTTTCAGCCTGGGGACCCCTCCAAAACTGGATGCCTTGAAATAAAGGACTGTTCACTGCAAAACACCACACATGGACACCCTGGCTGCCAAAACTCTTTCATTGTGAGGGCTAAATTGCATTTGGGGGCTGAAACTCATAGCCCCAGCATTTCGACCATTTTGTGATCAATACCAGGGCATTACTGTGGTAGGCGACTGGGAAGACGCCTGGAGGATCAGGCTGACAGCCCAGGAGGGCTGGATCCTGTGGGGTTCTGCTCCCGTACCTTATCTCACAGCCGAGAGAGCTTCAGCCGTGTCCTACGGGAAAGGCCTGCAGGAGAAGGTGGCTCTGAAGAAAATGATTGAGGAGGACAAGGAAGAAGCGTGTATACGGGGCCCAGCTTTCACAAATCCCCTTCCAACAAGCAGGGGATCAAGACATTAAAGGGGCGACAGAGGGAAACCCGACAGAGGAACCGCAGAGAGTTCAGCCTCCTGCGGCACAACTCCCCTGGGGTTAGGAAGTTTACTTAGGTGTTGGGCATCCCTATGACTCAACGCACCTGCCACCTGGGAAATTGTTGCCATTCAGCACTTTGTTATTTTTGGGAGAGTTTAAAAAGCAGATGTCCTGACAGATCTCTGGCAGACAGCCCAAGCGGGAGACCAGCCAAGAGCCCCACCTAGGACTCAGGGTGTGCATTTGCGCATCTCACAGGCCTCTGAGGCCAGGGCTGAGATAGCAAGACCACCAAAAGCCCCACCTGACTAGGGCAGACTTTAATTTAGACATCCATGTCCTTAATTGTTACATTTCCAGTCCTCCCAGTAAGCTAAGCCCTTCTGGGCAATACCCAGAACAAAGCTTATCACCATAAACTATTGCATCATAAAATAATAAAGACATCAGTCTAAAAAAGCCAAGAGAGAAGTTAGCAGCAGTGCGAAGTTCTAAAACCTCATGGTTTGCTTGTTCTTTTAAACTATAGGAGTAAAAACTCTGGGGAAGAGCAAAAGTTCTACCTGATGTAGGAGGGACCATAACATAGTAATTGCTAGTGATGACTTACAAAGCCCTAAACAGCTTAGGACCTGGACATTTGAAGGAGTGCCTCCTTCCATGTATACCTGCCTGGCCCCTGTGATCTGGAGTGGACATCTTTGAAGGAGATCCAAAGAGTGGCTACCCGGAGCAGGGCCTTCTCTGAGGTAGCACCCTGGGTGTGCAAAGAGCTCCCTAGAGAGGTACACCTGGCAGCGACGCTTTTTTCATTTCGGCGCCAGGCTAAGACCTTTTTATTTTGCCCAGTATTTAGAATGTTACTATTGCTTTTAAAATTGATTTTATATATCATTTGTGATGCTGTGGGTTATGTATGTGATCACCACCCTGAGACACTGTAAAGGGCAGGATATAAGAACTTTAAATAATAAATAAAATAATGTTGGCAGATTTGGAAAGGCAAGCCAGAGCAGCATTGCTACACCCTTCTCCTGAGTAGGCCCTTATTGAGTTGGGCACATGGAACAGGGCTTCTGAGGATGAGCTTCAGGAATATAAAAAGTAGATAGAGGGAGCTAACTGGGCCCCAGGCGATTTAGGGTGTGGAATTAGGACTGGTAAGCCCTGCTCAATTCCACTTGCTTGATCTTAGGGCGCCCGAGAACAGACAGAGCCAGCCACTGGTTGCGATGTGCAGGGGCAGAGGGGTTAAGCCGCGAAAAATGGCACATGCTCTACCAGCAATTTCTGCGGTCTGTGTAAGAGCATAGGCCAGCACATCAAGCCTCCAAGCAGCTCAGCACCAGCCTTGGGCTGATGGGCCGAAATCCGGTGGAGCAGCGTGCCGAGTCCACCAGCTAGCCTGTGACCACCACCCCGGATTTTTCACACAGCCTTGCTCTGCGGAGAAGCACCAGCACTTGGGACTGAGTCCCAGACAGGACTGGCACCCAGCAAAACTGAGAAGCACCTGGTGGGACACTAGGAAGCTGGTCTCTTCCACCGGCAGGCCTGCTCTGAGCAAGAGGCACCAGGCCAGCAGAGGCCAAATCCTGGTGTGTCATTTTGCAATGGCTCCTGACATGTAGTTACGACTGCCTGGGAGAGGCGAAGGCTGCTTTTGTAGGGCCTGTGGCCAGGAAAGCGGAGGAGCGTGGCCCAGAAGCTCTGGCGAAAGTGGGCAACAAAGGCCACCAGGTAGGACTTCGGAGCAGACATCCAAGGACCCCATCAGCAGGTGGAGCAAGAGGGGGGCCCGAATGACACAAGGCTTGCTTGCCGTTTCTTGGCAGAAGAGCTATTAGCATCTCGGGTCCTCCGTAAGACAATGAGGTCTAGGACCATGTAAGTGTATCACCACAAGAAAACCGTGCCCCTTTTCTTCTGACATCGTATGAACTCTGAGCACTGGGACATGCATCATATGGGACACGCTGAGCACTGTCAATAAACAAAGTCAAGTGATAAACCATTTCCTTCTTTATCTCACCTCCTCAGGTACCCGAGACATTTTCAGTACTACACCTTGCCTTTGACAAACCGATGCGGCCAGATTTTGTTGCTGTGGTTGTTCAGTCGCAAAGTCCTACCTGATTCTTGGCAACCCCAAGGACAACCTTCCACCAGCCTCTCCCGGATTCCTCCCAAGCCCATGCCCACCACCCCAGTGACCCCAGCCAGAGCGAGAGAGAAAGAGTGATAAAATGATGCATGAGATTTAAAAAAATAAATAAAACTTGGCGAACAAGGTTTTATTTCCCCTTCCCACCCCCAGGTAATACTAAAAACCTCAAGTAGCTGAGGAAATTGTAAGCTAATTACAAGTTAGGTTGCAGAGTGCCTGTTGCTGAAGTTAATTGTCCTTGCTTCTTTTGCCCAAATCTTGATCAAGAGCACATGGGGCAGGTCCAACTTTTCCATTTAGCTACTTGTGCGCGCACGCGCACACACACACACACCCGGGGTGGGGGGAGATAAAGTCCAACGGTTTTTTAAAAAAAAAAACTCCACTAGCACTCTGGTGGAGTCTGTGAGGACAAGCCCCAAAGGAAGCACTTCCTGATGTAGGCATCCTTCCACCTCTAACTCCCCATGACAGCAAATTATGGGATAGGGCAAAAGGCAAGCCAAGCAGGCAGGCTAAGGGTCCTGCACAAAGGTTTTGGCCCTGCGTGGAACCAACGTTAAGCAGGAGCAGCCTAGAGGCCAATCCTATCCCAAGCACAACATACCCAGCAGTCAGGCAGAGCCCTGGGTTCAGCTGGAGAGGAGATCGCACTCACAAAACCCTCTCCAAAGAGCCAGCGCGCTCCAGAGCGGAAGGAAGAGAGCCAGCCCTGTGCTGCCCAACCTAAAGGTGAATGCTCATGTAACCAGAGACTCCTCAGCCCCACCCAGGGGTCAGCTGCAGTGCAGCTACAGCCCCTGGGCAAAAGGGTTACTCATAAGGAGAGCCTTGCCCCTGTGCAGGGGAGTCTCAGCCATCCAGGGCTGGATGGACAAGTGGTTGGAGCAGATGAAGGCAGGTGGGCTCCAGCATGGGTGGGGTGGTGTCCCCACTCTGGGTTTCAGTCTGAAATGTCAAGGAGCCATTTCTAGTATCAGACCCTAGCCTTGATCCCAAAGTTAGGGTCAAGACCCTGGCTACCTCCTCAAAAGCCTGCATGTTCAAATTTGTGTTCTAGGATAGATTGACTCTATCACTGAAGGAGAAAGAAGATACTGACTTCTATCAAACTTGGGATTTTATTATTATTATTATTATTATTATTATTATTGGCTAGAGAAACGGGACTTGGCTTAGATTTAAAGGTGTTTTTAAGTTATTATAAATGGATTTGAATATGACTATGGAGTGTAAAAAATATGAGTAGGGGCTGAGCCAGTTCATCCAATGTATTTGATGATTGATGTCTTTAGTACTAGTTTAAAAATTTTAATAAATTTAAAAAAAATGTGTTCTAGGATCCTGAGAGAAATACGCTAAGAGTTCAATGGTGTAATCATCAAAAAATGGACCAGAGGACCTTCCAAAGGCCTTCGAGTTTACCACATCAGCAGCAGTGTGGGTGCGACGTTGCATCCATTTCGTGTCAGCCTGAGCGAGACACATTATGATAACTTTTGTGCATTTCGTATCATGGAAGCTGCTTTGAAGCTTTTTTAAATGATTGAGTAGAAATAATTCTCATTTTGTTAGTACACCTACACACATGCAATCTTAAGATGTGGGCCTGATCCTTTTAGAGTTATGCCATCTACCCAGAGAATTGGTTATTGGGCAGGTTAGAAACACCACAAGGCGCCAGTTGGCATCTCTGGGAGAGACCCTGGAATGTTAAATTCCTGGCAAGTTCCCAGCAATCCCTTTTTACAGTTCTGCAGGCAGTGGGAGTGAAGGGCCAATTGTCACAGCCATCCAAAAAGGTCCACCATTGCCCTGCTATCATTTTGGGCTTTTTTAAAAAAGCAGACCAAAAAGTCTTTCTCAGTGTTGCCCAAGCTCGCCCTCCTCTGGTGGAATCAATTCATTGTGTCTCTATTGTTTGTTTGTTTGTTTGTTTGTTTGTTTATTTATTAACAATATTTGTACCCTGTCCTTTACAAGACGTCCAGGATGGCTTGCAACAATAAATAAATCACAACAAAGTACAAAGCTGAGCATGACAATGTTGAAACCTAATCAAAATAATTAAATGTTAAAATAATTGAGGTAAATAAAAATGTTTTTGCCTGGCTCTGAAAAGAATATGTCGGAGCTAGGTGAACCTCTCTGGGGAGTATATTCCACAGTCAGGGCACTTCCACAGATAAGGCCCTACTCAGAGTAGATTTCCTTTTTGCCTCCTTCAAGGAGGGTTTCCAGAGGAGGGCCTCTGCTGCAGATCTTAGGGGGTGGGAGGGCAAATAGGGAAAAAGGCATTCCTTCAGGTATCCTGGTCCCAAGCCATTTAGGGCTTTGTAGGCCAACACCAAGACCTTAAATTGGGCCCGGACATCTACTTTGGACCAATGGAAGTATCCCAAATGTTTTCAAGGGCAGCCTCACGTAGAGCACAATACAATAATCCAACTGCAAAGTTACCAGATCGTGTGCCACCTTTGCCAGGTAAGGATGCAGCTGATGGACCCATTTCAGTCTGGCTTCAGACCTGGGTATGGTACTGAATCTGCCTTGGTCACCCTGTGTGATGACCTGTGCAGGGAGAAAGACAGGGGGAGTGCGTCCCTGTTGGTCCTCCTGGACCTTTCAGCAGCTTTTGATACCATCGACTTCTGCATAGGCTGGCGGGATTGGGAGTAGGAGGCACTGCTTTGCAGTGGTTCCACTCCTACCTGGCCTGTTGATCCCAGAAGGTGGTGCTGGGGGACTTTGGCTCTGCGCCATGGCAGTTATGCCATGGGGTTCCGCAGGGGTCCATTTTGTCCCCTTTGCTGTTTAACATCTACATGAAACTGCTGGGAGAGGTCATCAGGAGGTGTGGGCTGAGGAGTCATCAGTATGCAGAGGACACCCGGCTCTACCTCTCGTTCTCAACCGATCCAGGTGAGGCAGTGGCTGTGCTGAACCAGTGCCTGGCCGAGGTGATGGGCTGGATGAGGGCCAATAAACTGAAGCTCAATCCAGACAAGACGGAGGTCCTGTTGGTGGGTGGTTCGGGCTCCGGGGTGGGGGACCTGGACCTTGTCCTGAATGGGGTAGCACTCCCTCTGAAGGACAGGGTCTGCAGCTTGGGGGGTGCTCCTTGACGGAAAGCTGACCTTGGAAGCTCAAGTGTCAGCCATGGCAAGGAGCGCTTTCCATCAGCTTCGGCTGATCCATCAGCTGCGTCTCTACCTGGAGGATGACTGCCTGGCGACAGTGACACACGCATTGGTTACTTCCCGAGTAGACTTCTGCAACGCGCTCTATGTGAGGCTGCCCCTGAAGACGGTCCGGATACTTCAATTGGTACAAAATAGAGCTGCCAGGTTGCTGATGGGGACTGGGTGTTGTTCTCATATAATCCCAGTCCTCTACCAGCTTCACTGGCTCCCCATTGAAGTCAGGGCCCAATTCAAGGTTCTAGTTATCACCTATAAAGCCCTAAATGGCTTGGGACCTGGGTACCTGAAGAAGCGCCTCCGTCCATACTTGCCTTCCCGTCCTCTAAGATCGGCAGCAGAGGCCTTTCTCTGGGAACCCTCCGTGAAGGAAATTAGGTGGGTGAGTACCCGGAGGAGGGCCTTCTCTGCCATGGTGCCCCACTTATGGAATACGCTCCCCAGAGAGGTCCGCCTGGCGCCGTCCTTATTTGCTTTTCAGCGCCAGGCCAAGACCTTTTTATTTAAATGTTATTTTAATTGATTGTTAAATTATTTATTGCTTTTATCTAACTCCGGGATGTTTCCAGTTCTGTATATTTTGCATATTGTTATTTATTTGTTGGAAGCCGCCCCGAGGCTTATGCGAATGGGGCAGCATACAAGCACTCCAAATAAATAAATAAATAAATAAATGGATCAGCAGAAGCTGAAGGAAAGCGCTCATCGCCCACACTGTCACCTGAGCCTCCAGCAACACCTCCGGGTCAAGGAGTACTCCCAAGCTGCGGACCCTGTCCTTTAGAGGGAGCACTACCCCATCCAGGGCAGGGCCAAAATCACCTACCTGGAGACCCGCACTGCCCACCAACAGGACTTCCATCTTATCTGGATTGACCCTCAGTTTTTTGGCCCTCATCCAGCCCATTAGCTCGGCTCAGTACAGCCACCGCCTCACCTGGAGCAGATGCGAACAAGAGGTAGAGCTGGGAATCGACAGTGTACTGATGGCTCCGCAGCCCACACCTCCTGATGACCTCTCCCAGCGGTTTCATGTAGATGTTGAATAGCAAGGGGGACAAAATGGGCCCCTGCAGAACCCCATGGCATAGCTGCCGTGGCGCAGAGCCATGGTCCCCCAGCACCACCTTCTGGAATTGGCTGGCCAGGTAGGAGTGGGACCACCGCCACGCAGAGCCTCCTACTCCCCACCCGGCCAGCCTATCCAGGAGGACACCATGGTCGATGGTATCGAAAGCTGCTGAGAGGTCCAGAAGAACCAACAGGGACACACTCCCCCTGTCTCTCTCCCTGCACAGGTCATCGTACGGGGCGACCAAGGCAGATTCAGTACCATACCCGGGTCTGAAGCCAGACTGAAATGGGTCCAGATCATCAGTTTCATCCAAGAGTGCCTGGAGTTGTCCCGCCACCACCTGTTCCAACACCTTGCCCAGAAACGGGATGTTGGCCACCGGTCTATAAAATTATTATAATTTTTATAAAAATAAAAAATAACATACGTCAACCAGCTTGGTAGTGCAGTACAGTGAGTAGAGCACCAGAACTGGGTTTATTTTATTTATTCAATTTCTATGCCGCCCCATTAACCATAGGCTTTTTTTGTGGGCACATGTGTGTCCTATTCTGGTACGAGTCTCACCATCACTAGGCTTGTATCTTGTTCATCTTGTCTCTTTTCCTGACTTTTTTGACAAACATAGTGGGTTTGGCAGAAAGTGAAGTTATTCTGAGTCTAGAGCTCCTAATACTCTGGGCTGGAATCTCTGTGTCTCTGAGCATGTTTGCAGGTCAGAATTAGAGTTGCCCTATTTCTGGAAAGTTCTTCATCTTTTTTGGCAGGCTATTTCACTGCAGCTCTTTAGCTGCTGCTGCTGTAACTTTTGGTAAAAATTCACACACACACACACCCCAATTCCATCACAATTCAGTACAAACCTGATGTGTTGGACTATAGCTCCCATCACCCCCAGCAAGGAGAGCTGGGAGTTGCAATTCCAAACATCCAAGCTTGGAAAAGCTGATGCATGCAGTGGGAATAAATTTGGGGAGGTTTCTGTTTTTTAAAAAGTGGTCTTTGAAGAAACAAAACCAAATCCATTTATTTATTTGTTTGTTTGTTTATTTTATGGTCCAATAGCCAAAGTTTTCCAGTTAACAGAAGTTAAGGATGAAGTTAAGATATACACATTAAATACATGAGAGAAAGTCCATTTATAACAACAAAACCACCATAACAATTTTCAAGGAATTCGCATAGATGCGTCTCAGAATAAAATGCAAGATTAAAGATGACGTTAAAAGATTGAAACTGTTCAAATGCTGGGAGAATAAAGAGTGATTCCCCTGACCCTGAAAAGTAGACATCAGGGGGACCTCTTCGTGGAGCCCCTTCCACGGCCAGGGTGCCATTTCCAAAAAGGTCCTCCTCCGGGTAGCCATTTGCCCCTTTGGGGGAGAAGGATGACCAAGATGCCCTGAGGGTCTGGTAGTTACATATGGGAGGAGGCAAGCCTTCAGACAACCTGACCCCAAACCTTTTAAGGGTTTTGAATGTTAGTCCTAGTACTTGGAATCAGATGAGGACTTTAACCAGCAGCCAGTGCCGCTGGAAGGTGGCTGGCATAAAACATTGCGAGTCAGTCCCCATTAACAGCTGAGGACCCGGGTAGAAGAGGGTCTGGCCCATCACTCAGCCCTTCTAAGAGCAACAGCAGGGAGAGAATTTGGGATTCTCCGCATGCATCTCATGTGTTCCAGCTCTGAGCTTGGCTCCTTCCCAAAAGCTCTGCAAATGAGAAAGATAAGGAACAGCTTAAGTCCTGATGCAAAGTCATCAGGAACATGTGATTTCCCTGGGTTTCATGCAGCAATTTTTCTGGGGGTTAGACTTGAGGGGTGCAAAGCATGTCCTACAAACCCTCCCCATAAATAAATTGCACTGCATTGGCCAGGAATCGAACCCGGATCAACTGCTTGGAAGGCAGCATTGCTTAACCACTATACCACCAACACCATTGCTGGGGACAAGGGCAAGAGGCGGCTCTTGGACTGCTGAAGAAGCCCCAGGGTTTGCAGTAGACTTGCAAATCTCTGACAAAAGGCACAATCACAGGCGTGGTTGGAGAGAAAAAGCAGGTTATTATTATTATTACATTTTTATACTGCCCATAGCCAAAGCTCTCTAGACAGTTGACAGCAATAATCACAGAATCATACCCTCAAGTCACCCATCCCGCTTCTGCCCAGGCATGACCCAGCTTAGCTTTCAAGATTAGGCAGGGTCAGGCACTTCCCCAGCATCTCCCAGCCAGGCACAGGGTAAAAGGAAAACATGCTTCCATCAAAACAAAGACAAATGGTTTATCCCACAAGGTGCCTGCACTGAGAAAAGCATCCATTCACTAATGAAAGGGATGCTCCGAGGCTGCAAAATACATGCCCGGGCTGAAGTGCTGCTCCTCCTGCCACTGACACAGCCTAACCTACCTCACAGCTTGTTGTGAGGATAAAATGAAGATTAGTGGGGCAATAGAATGGAATTGAAATGATAGAAAACTGCATTGACGCAAAGAAACAGTATACAGAGTGACACACATATATCTCAAACAATTTTAAACAGTCACCATGCACAATGGGGTATTTCAGAATGAGCAACAAGAAAATCTCCCTGTTAAAAGGAATTGTCAATCAGACTGAAGAATAGAGACTCTTCTCTTCTCTTCTCTTCTCTTCTCTTCTCTTCTCTTCTCTTCTCTTCTCAACAGGTTGCAGCTGACCATGAAGAGCAGACAAGGGTTGCCTTAAATAATATCTTTTAGTGGCCGTGGATATTTCTTGAAGAGCAGTAAACTGGCCATGAGAATTTGTACTAAGAAAAAAAATGTAATGGAAAAAAGAAAGAGATGAAGATGGGCTATTTCAGGGGTCTCAGACCTCAGGCGAGAGTCCAAATTTGGCCCACCCAGCCTCTCACCTGTTGGGGGAAGGCAAGCAAAATCTCAGAAGGGAGAGCAAATTCTGGCTGTACAGCTCAGTGGGAAGGGAATTTGGCCAACTTGAGGCTCCTGGGGTGGGCAAAATGTTTCTTCAGGAACTTCAGGAAAAGATGCCTCTTCTTTTTCTTCGCAGAGCAATCGAGACCGGACTCCCTCTGGGGACAGCGGGCTGATACGGAGGCAACATTTCAGGGGTACAGCCCGTTCCTTTTGGGGGGCAGAGGCTGAAGCCCCCTTGGCTCTGCATTGGACTAGAGCTGCTGTAGGTTACACTGGGCTTGGTCACTTTGGGGTAGCTCTCACCCGTATCCTTGTAGGGCCCCAGTGGAATCTCGGCTTTGCCACAGCTTCTCCGGTGCACTTGTGGGTTTAACTGCTTCTTGGTGCTGCAGGATCCTGGAAGGGTTAAGTCTACCTGGAAAAACAAGGCCTCTTCTTCTAAGATGCAGGGTCTTTGCCCCAGGGCCACAAAGCCATAGGGGGTGGTGATCTTGGGCAGGTGGGGCAGAGACAGGGCAGCCCGGGTGACGGGGT